AATTTCATTTAAAGGTCTTTTTTTTGAATTATGAGAGATAAATTCAGTGTCACTTTCATTGTTATCTTTAGTAATATTGACATCACCAATATTAATATTATCCGAGATATTATCTTTAGAATTAATATCATTTGTAGAATCATCATTGTTTAAGCCATTTAAATTGATATCACCATTAATAATATCAACAACACAGTTATTATTTTTAGTGGTACCAGGTAATGTTAATTTAGCAGTTTCTAATTTTTGTTTTTCATTTTCTGAATGATAACAATCTAAGCTTGCTAGAGACCTATGTAGAGTGATGTTCATAATTGACTGTGTATCAACACCTTCATCACTTAGTTTTTGTGCAGTACTTTTTCTTAAAGAGTGATTTACTATCCTTCTGCTTTCACAGTCTATGCCTGTGATTTCACATATTTGCTTTAACATATTATTTAATTTATCTCTTCCAAGATGTTGTGGTAAATACCATTTACCATCATTTAATTCTTCATAATCTTTGTTGATTCTCAAGAAAAAGTTTTCCTCAGCATTTGATGGGTGTAGTGAAATGTACTTTTTGATATCATGACAAGCAGCTGGTGATCCTGGTTCATCTGGTGGGATTATATGAGTTGGATGTTTATTATAGTTTGTTTGATGATAATAACCACCTTTATGAGTTTTATCATGAATTGTAATTACATTGAAACCACCATCATTTCTTTCCTTGAAATGACTTATTTTAAGATCAATGTATGATCCACCTCGCTTAGCTGTGCAACAACCAATCCAAAGGAATACACAATTTAATAGACCTTCTGGTGTGTTTGATGACATTTGTGGGTGATCAAATATTTGAACCATTTCCTCATCTGTTAAAGGATCAGCTCCATTATGAGTGACATCATCCAAATCTTCTAGTTCTACCATTCTAGAGTGTAAAATATCTTGTACAGCAACAAATTCAAAATCTCATGTATATTAAAAGGTTCTTTGAATTTAAACATATCTTGATAAAACCTGTTGATGGCACAAATTCCATTATACAA